AGGTACAGTGAGCATGTGCCTTTTAAATAAGGGGAAACAGTATCTTCAATGTCCAGACTAGAGTCTCCTTAATGAAGAAATAAGCTGCGCTGTGGTCAGCGCCTGTGTAAGCCTATCTTATGTAACATGGGTTAAGCGGGGCCTTAGGGGACTGTTCGTTTGCTGCAGGAATCGATTCTGTATGGGAGGTTCAGCATACTTGCTGCATTGTCTCGGCAGATGCTATTTTTGTTTACAATGTTAACATGCCTGTCAGCAAAAATGGGTGGGTTTTCAAATAAAATGCAGCCTCCCCCAAAAATATTAGCACAATTTCACGTATTATGCTATATATTTAATAATAAAAAGACTGTATAAAATTATTACTGATTTGTTAAACAAATCATATAGGATATTTGTAAATGCTCATCAGATTTGCAGTGCCACACAAACCGTGCCTCTGTTTTTAAAATAATGGTCTGGTAAATGTTTCACGGGCAACAGGACGCAGGAGCTCTGACCTTGGAGATGTCCTCTCGGGCGGCATTCAGTGCAGAGGGACCCAGTGTCACCTCAGTGAAGACGTTGGACTCGGCGACCCACCAGCGAAGGACGTCAGCACCATAAGGAGGCTCTTTGCTTTGATCCTTTTCATTGAGGGAAAAACACACACAAACATAAACATGGCTTCCATTCCCGTTCCAAGCAGGTGAACAAGCCTTCCTGATATTCCTACGCCCAAAGGTCTGAGCACAGGTGAGCGTACAGGCTCCTGCACTGGAATGAAAGGAGGGCTACACTCAGGAGTCAGGCTGCCTCTGAAACAGCACAGGAAAAGGGAGTGTCCCCTACAGTCCTGTGTACCATGCAGACGCTGACACACCGCTTCCCCGGTCACGGCGGCTGCCCAGACCCAGAGCCGCGCCTGGATGTCTCCGGGACGGAGGGAAGGGCTGCTTTCCCTCTCAATGTTCCCTAGCAACTCTGTGCACAGGGAAATGACTGCTGGCCATTAGGAGGGCAGTAAAAGGCCAAAGGAACAACAGTCCGTGATTTCTCTTATGCAAACAACTTCAAAATTAACCAAATTATCAGCAACCCCAGATTTCATGTTCATTAATGGCGTGCTTTAAAGAGCAGAATTTCCAAGAATAATGAAACATGCATTTAGAAGTGGCAATTTCATTTTTTTCTTAGATCATTTCCATTTAAATGTAAAATTGCAGTTCAGAGCTCAGACCATTAAAAAAGGGGTAGCAGGGTTCAAGACCTACCTAAAGATTCAGACCAGAAATGGGTCTAAAAGGGCCGCAATCCCAGCCCTTCCCTTTTTCTTTAAAATCATATGATTTAAGAGTCTAGTTTTAAGACACGGTAAGGCATCTGCTATTCATATAAAAGATGGGTTCGTTTTTTTAACACTGAAGTGACTACATGAAGGGTCTGGGGCCTTAAAACCAATATAAAAGGAATGTTGAAAAGCCACCTACTTGTCCTCCATTGATGACAACATCAGGATCAATGACATTCCCTAGAGACTTGGACATCTTCTCACCCTTTTCTCCAAGGGTGAACCCATGGACCACCACCGTCCTGAGAAGGCAAATCGGCTGTTATAATAACCATAACAACAATCATCCCGATCATTTTGAAGGTGACCTATCGCTTTAAAAGAGTATCTTCGTTTAACACAAAAATGGGGTTTTTCTTGACAGATTATGTAGGAGAGCTTTTCTTGAAAGTCCAATTTCAACAGCTCATTTATCATGATTGTTAAATAGTAAGCTCTCTACTTATACACAGAAACGTTCTTGATGTTTATGTTCCCTAAATAAGGGAACGTAAATACGTTTCCTGAGCATCTATTATGTGCTGGTTTTGATCATTAAAACTAACTGGGAAAAAGTATGTTTTAAAAAGAGCAGATTATCACTTCCAATTATCTTGAAAAAGGCAATTTAAGAAAAAAATACCTGCTGTTCTATTGGCTTAGAAAAGTATGTTATATAAGAAGCAAACATTTAAATTTGCTGGAATGGGTTTTCATAGTAAGATAGCAACAGTGTTATTAAGCTCTTTCAGAATATTTCTGATTAGAACCTCTATACACATATTTGTACAAACAAAAGCAATTACCTATAACTATGAATCCCTAATTTAATAAACCTCCTAATGGGATTGTTCAGTACAGTGGCCACTTCTGGAGATTACGAATGTAAGGACATCTGAGCCCAGGCTGCCTTCGATCAACCTAGGACGCCCTTGTCTCCGTCCCTCTGAGTGGAGTCCGACCACATTGGAGGCCTCGCTCTCCGCAGGTCTCCCTGTTCTCCGGTCAGTGCCGAGTCCCATATCAGTGACCAGACTTTTCTGCATTGTTACCTCCTTCCTCTCTCTCTCTTCTCTCATGAGACGAGACTGCGAGCTCATGAAAGGCGGTGTTTGGCACAGGCTTCTTACACTGGCAAGACCCAGCAGAAGCAAAGCGTGCGGTGTGTTCAGTTGGGGTGTAATACTCACCTAAAAGGGGCTCTTTTCCTCACAGCCACACTTGTTAACAAGGAAGACTGAAACCAACCGCCAAGCTGGTCTTTTCCTTCCAAGTATAAGTCTGCTCTTTGGTCCGTACCTCAAAACAAGCATTGACAAGTACGGAAATGTCATTGTAATAGGAAAACAAACATGTATCTATATCCAAGCACTGAAAGGATAGAGTGATCACATTGTTTATTTCCAGGGTCTGCAGTAACCAATGGCTGTTACCCTCACTGCCAATTTATTAATCCAGATGAAGAAAATACACCTTGCGTATGAACTCCCAAACCATAGGTAATTAACGTTATAGGTTAATTCACTTGATGTGCACTGTAACTCGGTAAGGCAGGTATTACTATCATCCCCACTTTACAGATGAGGAGGGTGAGACCCTGAGAGGTTTTACTACTTGAACAAGGTCATGCAGATAAGCAGCAGTGACAGATAAGGGTAGGGTCCTGAACCTAGACAATCTGGAGTACCTGTGCTCAACCAAGACATTTAATCAGAAAAAAAAAGAACTCTTGATAAAGGGCAAATTATTAACTTCTAATTTGACAGTGGCCCGGTAAAAAGATGGGCAAACTATAAAAAAGCCACATGAGCCAAAGGTGGGGTAGGAGATAAGGGGGTGTGGTGGTTGGGATGAATGGTAAAACACAGGATTTTTAGGGCATTGAAAATACTCTGTATGACCCTATCATGATGGACACGTATCATTACACATTAGTTCAAACCCCAGAATCTACATCAGCAAAGGTAACCCTGCTGTCACCCGTGGACTCTGGGTGGTGATGTGTCAATGTAGTTCACCCACGGTAACACATGTGCCATCAGGTGGGGGATGTTGATGGGGAGGCTGAGGGGGAGGGGGGACAAAGGGTACGGGACTCTGTGCTCGACACTCCATCTTGTAGTGAACCTGAACCTGCTCCAAAAAATTAATCTACTTAAAATTTAAAAATAATTCATGTTATTGTTTTTTTTTTAAATCACTGCAATAATTAATTCCTTTAATGTTTAAAGAATGTTTTAGAAATATAGGTATGATTTATTACCTATATAAGATTCACTTAAAAATACTAGTCCCTTTCAGGAAGTTTCAAGTTTCCATTTCTTCAGTTCTATTACCTTGAACTCACAATGAAACCCGCACTTGACCTGGTGTTAAAATTGATAAGCCAAATCTCTTTCACTGCTATAAAATCTGTCAGCAAAAGTAAAACCATATGCCATGTAACCATGTAATCACCAAATTTCTCTCATTAAACATTAGCAGGTACTAATGAAGTCTGGTAGCTAAAATTTAGCTCAAAATCAGGCTGATTTCATTTTTCAATAATGTCCTCTCAAGGAAATACGCAGACGTAGGCAATAAATCATTTCACATTGGACTTGATACCAACCACTTGAGAATGAGAAGTACAACAAGCCTTCTCAGGAAAAGTAGGTGACTGACTTCTTGTGGGTTTTTTTAAGGCAAGTCACCCTCACTTTATGGCCTTTTGAACTATGAATTCGCCTAGTATCTTGACTCCCACTTCATGTGTAATGCCTATCTTTTCAAGTTTGTTGGTTTTTTTGGTCATAAAAGAATAAAAGGGAAAAAAATAGGGTAAAATATAAACCAATTAATCTAATTCTTATTGAGTAATCTCATAAGATTATCTTATTATTTTTCTTTTTTTGAGGAGGAGGAATATAAGATCTGAGTGAAAAAGCAGAAAACTACAGTCTAAAATTAGACTTATTATCATAATGGTAGTTTATATTCTGGCAGCGTCCTATGCATGCAACATACATCTTTAAATAACAAATTAATTTTCTTCCTTTGAATTAATTACCCAAATGTGACAGGGAAGAAAAACATGGTTTGCTAATCAGGTGCATTTTTACCATAAGTTTCATTTAATAAAGTATTTCTGCCATAAATATTTGGTTCAGAACATCACAAACTAGAAACTGAATGACTAAACGCCATCAGCACCACGGACAGCGGCACGGGGTGGGGGGGTCTTAACGGCGTCCCCCGCTCTGTAACCCAGGCAATGACCAGGTATAATTGGCACGCGATGATGCGCTTGGTGATGTAAAACCACGTCAGGAATTAAAAAGCACCAACGCTAGCAGCAGCAATTCTCACCAAAGCCGAAGCAGTTAGTGAACTCTGAAATGTACTACATGAGCACTAGGTCACGTTTTCTCTTAAATACAGTGGGAGAAACTTACGAAATACTAATTCTGAAAATTCTTACATAAAAAAATATAAAACTGTATTAATGTAACTTATACTTGGCCATGTTACTCTGTGTATTTTAGCTGTAATATAGAGTAAAAATGAATTTACATACATTTTGCTTTTCCAATTTCCTAAGCTAAAAGGCCAAGTGCAGGAATGGTTCCCTACTGGGATCCATACTGCTGTCCTCCCCCTACTGAGGCCTCGAGCCAGAGCATGCCGCTGGGAAAACCTGAGGACAATCCCCTCCCATCCCTTTAACAACGGCCTCTGCACAGACAAGCCATTTCCCCACACTCCCTTGCTCCCGAGAGCAAACAGGGCCTCTTGGGCCAAAGCTGGCCCCTCGGAGCAGTACAAGCACCTGCCTGAGCTGCCACTGCTCCTGGGCACCTCATCCCGTCTCCTCCCTCCCAGGGACGACCAGCCGCACACTTCGCTTTATCTCGAACTTTCCACTGAGTATCCCCAAGGACATTCTCCCCCAGCAACTGGACACACCCTCTGATGTGCACCTCCTCCTGCTCGCCTAGTTCCTGCCCCATCGCTCCTTTCCCTTCAGCCAGTGAGTCACAGACTCACCCTAACTAGGAGTAAGTGTAAAAATAGTCAGTTGTTCATACTGGGGGGGGAGAGGGGCATGTAGTAGAGAAGGAGGAGAACTGAGAACCAGGTACTGAGTCCCAGAGCCTGACTCTAGGTTATGTGACCAGCCCCTAACTGGCCTCTAGTTCAGTCTCACTGCCTCTCCTGAAAAATGCTGGGCAGACCGTTTCTGTGATGTCCACACTTTCTGCTATAGAACCGGGTGCCTCGGGGTGGCCAGGTGGGCCGGGGAGGCTAAAGGAGGGAGAAAACCCCCATTTTTCTCTATCTCATGTATTGAGGTTCCATATAAAATTTCATTTGGAAAAACAAAAACGAAGTGTACAAATCCTCAGATTGAATGATCTCCAAAGGTCCTTCCGATCTCAGATTACATTAGAGCAGATCTTGCAAGTAAAGCAAGAGGGATCCTGGCTATAGATTTCTGCTAAGTACCGTCTGCATAGTCTCAAAACTGCCTGACGGGTGTGCAGACTCCGATTTAAATCACCTGGAAGCACACAGGCCCAGGAGGTTCCGCTGTCAAACCAGATGTCCAGGATGTCCCGGCCCGGCTCGTACTCCAAGGCGTCGGGACCACCGACCTGAGGAGACAGGTAAGAAGAGCACTTGAGTTTCACCGGAAATGCACACGAGAAATCCCCGAAAGGCCAAAGGACATGAAATGCTTGCAACTGTTACCCTCACATTTTCAGTTTAAACTTAAAACACTTAAAAACATTTCACAATTACAACATCTCACTCATTTGCAGGCCAAAATTAGTAAGGCCACCTGATTTACACATTTATTCATGTAAATATAAAACTGTTTGTAATGTTGCTTTTGTTTTTGTTTTCTCGAGATTATCTTCCAGTTCGGATATTTGGTGTGTGATGCCATTGATTCCCCCTAATTCAGATCCTACGAAGTCCTGGTATACTCATGCCAGTCCCTGTTCTCGCAATTACAGCTACTTAAGCGAGTCCATTAAAACTCTGGCCCTCAATGAGATGACAAAAACCCTCACCCCCTCAGCTATATTAAATACCAAGCTTCTCTAGCTAAATAAAAACGTCTCCTCTCCATGCACTGACTTCTATTTATAGTGAATAGCGCCTTCACTTTACATCAAGCATGTCGAGCTCGTGGCCCGCGGCAGCGTTTGACATGCTTGCTTTACATGAGAATGTACCTCTTTTTTAACTCCCAAGACTCTTCTGTTGCCGGTAAGGCATGCAATGCACACAGAGGCTGCTGACTGACAAGGGAACTTTACCTGAGATAAGGCTCCTTCGGAAGGAGCTGCTCGGGGGGGAGAGTCCACCACACATCGCTCCATGCTGCTCCACCAGCTT